GGTCCATGTGTCTACACCCAGGGTTATGGTGAACGAGACGATGGACGGTTGGTGTACAGTCGGCAGAGTGCGGCGATGTGACGCATACGCGGACTGTGACGTTCGACTTGTGCTGCCAGAGGTCGCGAATGGTGCCACCGTTTGCACTGCACGCGCTTCCGTCCGACTCGATGTTTTGTGTGATTACAAACCCCTCAAGGTTCGTTTCGTCGCCGTTGTGGGCACTCAGCGCATCGAGCGCTTCGAACGTTGCTGGTGTCATGACCATGTCTGTGATCGGGCACTCTTCGCAGTCGCTAGTTGGCGCCATTAGAAGACCGAGACGTTCCGAAATATCATAACGTACAAGAAGCGCAGTTGCTTGGAGAGATGTACGTTGGTAAACGTTTTGATCGGGTTATCTCCAAGTCGCCTAGACACATTGTCCATGAAATCAAGAAATGGAGCTAGTGATGGAGTTGTACAAAAACGTCAGCTGCGTCCAATTTTTGTCCGTGATGGTCTCAAGGCGGTTGTCGTACAGATTTCTAATCTCTGGTGATGAGAACTGCAAGCATAGAAGCGACTGTACAATAATGTCAAGCCATCGGGAAGGTACACGAGGTCCGTGAGTTCATTGTCTTGGATGGCCCTACACGTCACATTGAAAAAGTCGTCGTTTGAGACTGTTGAATGGAAGACCAACAGTTCGCGCAGCGAGGACGGCAGTGCTTTGGGGATCGTCTGCAACTTATTTTCGAGCATAGTGCTACACCATTGGGAACGCGCATAAGTCAAACAGCTTGCGTATCCAGCACGAGCATACAGCGTCTCGAGACGCGGCGGCCAATTGAACAAACTTGGCATGATGCTGATACCACACGACACAAACTCTCTACGTAAGCAATGCATAAGACCACGTGATGGTCAAAGTACGGAGGCTGTACAGCTCGGTGATGTTGTCAAGAAGGTCGCTATAGACAACGCCTAGGCTAATCGCGGTGACGTTGTCAAAGCTCCTACGACAGCATCAATCAGTATTCGCAGGTCGTCACGAAACAACGCGGTTTGGTACAGCGTGAGGAGGGTCGAAGGCAGCTCCATGTCATTGGCATTCACGTACGACGTATTGCCAATGTACCTAGTGGTCATCGTCCGATGAGCTGCGCGACATTGCCATAAAGATCGCACAGCTCGTCGTGCGGGTACGCCGTGAGGTTGCCGAGCGCAGAGTAGCCAGAAAATTTAACTTGGTCGCGGGAAATCTTGTGGCTGAGCAAACGGCGGCACGACGTGTCGATAGCGCAGACAGGCGCTGTCGACGAGCAGTAGGCTGTATCGGCCACGAGGATAGCGCTGTCGGTGGCATAGCTCTCGTACGGACACTCTGCTGCCGTCACCGCGAGTGGCAGCAGCAGCGACAAGAAGCGCCGTGGCATCATCCACATGGGAATTTTTATAATGAACATGACGTGGATGCGACGCAAAGCGAAAGGGCGGGGTGATGAATACTTGCACCCGCTTTTGGATTGTTTTGCGTGCGACATACTACATAGTGTACTGTAGCGAGAGCACTGCTAGTTGACATCTACAGTTGCTTTCTCGGCACGACTGAACGTCGGTCCGACTGGGACATCGTGTCGGCGCTTGGCATAGAGCGTTAAAATGTTTTCGGTGACGCTATCAAGTAAGTGTATTGGATAGAATATGGTATGTAATGAGTGCTGTGCACAGTATCCACGATTGTCTATTCCGGCGGCCGACGTCATGTGCGAAAGTGCATGGGACGGACAGGTTGATAGGAAAGTACCGTACTGGATGTACTAGTACCGGTACCTGTTTTGACGCTCAAGCGTCTGATCGTAACCTTTTGCAGGTATACCCCACCTGCAGAGTATAGATAGATGTAGACGATTGCTTGTCCGTCGCTCCATACACTGTATTAGCTCACTTGTGTGATTCCACGAGCCTGGTGTCGGAAATTCTTCGACACGTACCGAAATCGTGAGTAAAGTTGTGCAAGTGTCAACCACGACCGTCAAAAATGCCCCAGCGTCCTAGTGTCCACATGGCCATGTAGACAAACGACATCCTATCCCGTCGCGTATGGTCGGGACAACATCACTCGGGACTGCCACAGGCCGTCATCAGCTCCCACAGATCACCTCCCCTCACGCCAACATTTCCTCCCCACATCCCACAAACATTTTTGTGCAAACATTTTGTGCCCGTGAACGCCACACCGCCGCACATTCGGACTGTTTCGTCACGCCAGATGTTGTTGTCAATTGTGTCGCTAAAGATGCAGTGCGCCATATGACGTGATCACAATCCGTCTTATATCAGATCTTGACAGCTGCCAGCATTATAAACGATGGGAGCTCCCTGTACAGCAGTGTACTAATATCGTAGAGCAAGTGAAATTAGCTGCCGCAACAGCGCAGTAGGCTGTTGTGCATGCTGTACAGTACATTGATGTACGTAATAGAAGAAAAATCCAAGTGATCGTGGTAGACTACCAATGCTGCAATGCATCCCGACATCCAAATCACACCGCATTTGTTTTTCCAAAATAAATAGAGTGGACCCTGCCATGTTTTAAATCGTCACACATGCCGCAGCACAACCGTCAGCTGCGCTGCGGTTGGTCGCAGTGTCGGGTCAGTCTGCAGACACTGCAGCGCGATCTCGTGCACCCACGACGGCACGCCCACGGCCGCAAACGTCGGCTGCAGCAATCCCTGTATCACCTGCGTCATCACGTACTGCTGCGTCACGGGTCGGCCGTGCGTCGGGTGCAGCACGTCTGCGTACGGCACCTTGTGCGTCGAGAACTCCGAGAGGAGGACCCCAAACGAGTAAATGTCGGCCGCCACCGAGTAGTCCGTGCCGCAAATGACCTCGGGCGCCATCCACTGGTACGTCCCGATGCCGTTCGTGAGCTGCCTATCGTCGTCGTGGACGTGGACGCTGCGCGAGATGCCA